AGCTAGTAAATGTCATATTTTTCGACTTCCTTTATACTACATAGATAGGAAAAATGTTGTTGTTTAGGCCACTATATTTAGTTTAGCAATATTCCTATTAGTTTTGCTACTATGACTGTTTTACGACGTGTCAGAGGTGCGTCCCGAGTTGCCCCGCCAGTCCCGAGTTGCCCCGGTTGACGGTATTGTCTATCATCACTCCCTGATCCCTCTCCACCTCACCCTCTGCTAAATTCCAGTCTTTCTTCTAGTTTGTTCATGTAGTAAGTGCCTTGAGACTTCTGCCTGCCAAGTTTGATCATACTACACTTCTCAGGATGAAATTTCAGTAGCCACCTTTTGACCATGCCTGTAGATGATCAAGGTCCCTTTGGAAGTTGTCAATGCCATCTTCTGTGTGTTCTTGCGAAGAGTTTTGTGTTGTTTGCGAACATTCTTACGTTGCTACGGATTCCATCTGGTGGATCATTAATGAACATAACAAACAAAATTGGTCCCAAGACAGACCTCTGGGAAATCCTGCTTGTTACATCAGCTTCCTGGGATTTTGCTCCCTTAACGATCACTGTCTGCTTTCTGTCTGATAAAAAGTTGTGAACCCAAGCAAGTACATTTCCTGTGATGCCAAGTCTATCATCAATGCTTATAACCTTGCTAGAAGCACTAAAGTTGCATGCCTTTAATAGAAATGATCTGTTTTATAAACAAACTGAAGTAAGTCTGTCTAGCACAATCCAAACAGCTTTGTATTCAATATGTAGCTATCGAACCCTGCAAATCATAGTTCTGACTACTGACCCGGGGCCATACTTTCAAAACTCGCCAAGTGAACGTAAGTACATATGCTCTATTTTCTTGCCTATGATTGGTGGATTTGGCTTGAAAGGCCATCAATGATTGGCTGATAAACTTACAATCTCTTAACTTTTTTTGAAAGTATGGGCCCAGTATTATAGGGTATTTAGTGATGGGCCTTGAGTGACAAGGCAAGCTAAATGCACTACTGTTTCTACTGAGTGGCAATGAATAGAGCACTGATGGTGGCAAGAATTTCATGGCTCAAGCGCTACAGATGCATCTTGGAATGTAGATATATATACTGGTACCTATATATATATAATATATATATAGGTATGTATTTCCTGCCTGACAACCAGTATTTGGTACTTTTTAGCTGGCAAAGCAGAATTTTTTTAGACTCTTACTTTTTGAGTCCTTTGAGTGAAAAATATCATGTGGTCTAACATTCTTGTTTATATATGTATATAGATACGTATTAAATAAAATTTTAAATTGGATCAGGGAGTTAAGAATGAACTTGTCTCTGAAAAATTTCTCATTAGCAACTATGTTAAGCACTGAACTGCATATTGAAATCCTTACCATATAGGTATATATATATATATATATATTTATATATATACTTTATTACACAGTCTAGTAGTATACTTTCTTGTTCTTCAATATTTTTACTTATAATTACAGTATCATCAGCATAAAAAAAAGCCTTCTAAACTTTTCACCACCCATGTACACACCAACATCCATTCTCTTTACCCTAGTAGCCATCTCTTCTGTGTAAAGATTGAAGTGAAGCAAAGCCTGGAGGCATAATTGTTGTATGCTCCTCTTGCTCCTAGCCCAGTCATAAACACTTATGGCTAAACAAATTAAAAAAAATCTTCATTTGTGCTAATCTTCCATAGATTTAGATGAATATGAAAGAATCAAAATTATATTTATTTCATTTTCTTTCATATTTTCATATGTGTTGCAATATTTTTCTATAGATTAAGCAAAGGGAGTTTGTTATTCATGACTTTGCCAATATCATGAACTTTGAACCAATGTCGACTTTGGCTCTAGTGCCGATGATGTGTCAAACTAGTTCCTGAATAAAATTGTAATCTCATTGTTTTATTAAAGTTATATTGAATGCAGTTATAAATGTGGAGAGCATTGTTGATAGCTTGAGCGACATTAATTTTTCTAATTTGCTTGCAATTTTCCAGGATGAGCTTGATGACTTGAGTGTGAAGCAAGGCTATACTCACAGACCTCAAATTCAAGACGAGTATGGCAGTGCACTCAACGTTACCTTGAATTCAGCAAAGGTAAGAATAACATCATCATATAATTTGTTGAGAACATTTTTCTTTTATTGTAAATTTTTATCAAGTGTGCCTGTACCAAATGTATTAAGATAAGGGTTCTAGCAAACTATCATTGAAATTTGTACATCTAGTTGTTCATTAGTTGCATGACAGGAAAATGTATAAAACGAGCTTAATTTTTTATGCTGCTGGGAATATTGATCTTGTTACGGGTAGTGGATTTCTAGCATCAAATTTTTTTCTCAAATTTACACCTGAAATAAGAGATGCAAAAGATGCAATGATATTTGCTTATCAATTGAGCTAAAAAGTGTAGTGCTTTTTACTCATTTACATTTTTCAGGTTGCTGAAAGTTTTAACAGCATTCTGGAGAAGAAGGCTGAGCTCAATCAGTTGCCAGACACTGGAAGGAAGAAGCAGCAGATCAACATCAAGGACAACTTCTGGCTGGTGACACCACGCTCCAAGTTTGCATTAGAGGCTTGGTTCACAGACTTGGCTGGCTCAAAGCCCTTGACATTTCTTGCTAAAAAGGTGGGAAAATATCCTCTGTAAATGGGACTCAGAAATTTGGGGCTTGTGATTAAGTACCTATACTATAATGTATTCATCTTGAGCAATAATTATTGTGAGTAATTTCTCCACATTTTCTGGATTCTTTAACTGTGATTTTGAAAATAAATGTTTTCCATCTTTGGTTATAAGACAATGAGATAGTTTAATCATGCATTAAATAATGCGTTTATTTGAAATATTCTGGTGTTTTGTAGGTGCCAATTTTTCCTAAGAGGGAAGAAATGCTACTCACGCTCTGCGAGTATGCAGTACCCACACAGCGTGCAATTTGGTTCATCAAAATGACATCTTTCTATCAAGAGACCAAGGCGCTTGAGATCAAAGCTAAGAAGAGACAACAGCTGGACTTGTCATTAGGTGAGCACTTATCATGTCCAAAATATTTTTCTCACTCCTAGATGAATTTTCTTTTCATAAACTAGTACTGTTGGAGTGCATTTTCCATACTCTGTTTATAGCTCATATTTTCTTTAGTCAATAATCAATATGCCTTACATTTTAATTCTGCCTTGCAAATAAATATGTATTTGGAAGCAAGAAGCATTTGAAGCTACATTATAAGGTTACTAACTTCAAGGACTATTTTTTCTCAGACATGACTGGGACTCTCACGAAATTTTTGAGGGAACAGCTCTGCAAAATCATGGAAGCCTATGGAGCCTCTCCAGCATTAGGGAGCACCACGCCAGGTGGTTACCCTTGCTGCATCGTTATTCATACTTCTGTCTTATGCTTTTAAAGATCTTCTTCCATACCAAGAGACTAAGATACATTCAATAAAAAAATAGATGTAGGTTCATCCTAAGACAGAAATTAAGGTTTGCATATTTCTTATAGTTGTGTTGATTTATTTATTTTTCAATTTATTTTGCTTTGCCAATCATCCAGACTAAATTCTTTTTTTTTTTGTTCAATCAGCTTCCACTTTCTGTACTAATATCTCTTCACACTCTCAGTTACAGCCTCAATTGCTCCTTCTGATAACCCCACCATTATTTAAATCCACCCCTCTCACTAACCCACATCTCATACATATAAACCATTACTCTCCCACCCTCGTGCTTTGAATCACCTTCAGCATTATTTATCTTTCTCAAGTGCCCAACATTCCTACGTTCCACAGTTTACTTCACGACCCTATTACAGGTAACATACTCATTTTTTGCATTTACACCAGTTCACCAGTCCTCTGCACCAAAAACCATATCCCATCTCTGGTCCATTTTACATACATTCATATTTCATGATTACTTTTACTGACATGAGTAGGTAGGGATAAGAGGTAAGGATAGGCACAGTAGCAAGATTAGTAAGCAAAAATTTAGAAGGACATGATCTCAATAATTTTTCTATACTCCATCTAAGGAACTGCAGTTAAAGCATTTTACAATAAATTCAAATTATTAAAAATTCTTGCATCACTATTCACTTCATACAAAATGTAATGTTTTCTGTCCCAAATGAATCCAAAATGTAATGTTTTCTATCTCAAATGAATAAATGTTATTAACTGTGTAAATGTACAGGAAGCTCAACCCCAGGTTCCAATACCAACCCTCCAGGCTCCACACCCCCGGGGTCCACTACGCCCTCGTCCTCTCAGCCTCCTCACTCATCCCCTCACCAAGGTAAATATTTGTTTATATGCATTTATTTATATGCATCTTTAGTCTGGTTCAAGTTCACCAAGAATTGCAAGGCAAGAAAAATGACAAGGCCAGCTAATTTACAAAGCGTTTTTTTTGCTCATTAAGTATTTTCCAGCAAGGTATGTTTTGCACTTCTTGCACAGCCAATGTATAAGATGAGAGTGCGGCGCTCGCAACATTACTCCATTTTTTCATTGGTAGAAATTTCAACAATTGCGTTAGAAAATCTTTGTAGCATTGAATTGATCTCCGCTAGCATATTCAGATTCTCTGCACATGCTGAGCCAGCTTATAAACGCCATCAACTTTTTGAGCACTCATTGGCTTTCTAGAATGAATCTGTTAAGTTTCATGTGTCATTGATGTTCTGCATGTGTAATGGGTGATTCCTTTGGCAATCTTAAGAAGATCTGTATTTCTTATATATATCAAATCATACTCAATTTGTTAATGCTCTAATTAAATTTTTATTGTTCTAATTAAATTCTCATTTTTAGTGAATGATATATTTTTGTGAATGTTCAAATAAAAGTGAAATGTTTCAGTATATTTAAATACCCTAGGCATTGGCAGCAGTGGAAGCAGCAACCCATCTTGTGCTCAGCTCAGCCATAATCTGCGCAATTGGAACTACATTGTACAGATAGCTCATTTCATGTATCAGGTGCGTCTCATTATCTTAAGTTACTTGCAGAAATTTCCTTCTGTTAGATCGTTAATTATTTATAATTACTGTTCAACTGATCTTTGTATTTGCTGTTTAAACTATTTTTGTTGGTAAACCATGTTGTCTATAAGCCTGAGTTTAATGTAACCTATATGAGAATGTTTACTGTATGATAAAAGGTTTTTGTTGCGGCAGGACAACCTGTTGGACCGACAGGAGTACTTGGAGTGGGTGGTTGAGAGCATCACGCGGTACCGCACCACTGAGCAGGACAGCGTGCTTAGAGTGGTCTTACCTTTAGGATTACAATATCTCGACGAGATAACTCAGTCTGAGTATTTGTCTAGGAAACTCTCATACTTTGCCGCTACTAAATTACAACTCATGTGCCAAGAAAATGGCTATAACCCTGTATCTGGGGCTGCAAACTCCACGCCTCCTGCAAGCGACGCTGCGGGCGTCAGTGTCACGGCAGCCATCAGTGCCCCGCCACAGCCTGGTGCCATCAGCGGCTCTGCTGCCACCAACACAGGCAGCCTCATCCACGCTCCTGCCACTCCGTAAGTAGAGCGTGTATTCTGTTCAAAGGCGAATAAAATATTTTATAGCTCGGCAGTTATTTGCTCGGCATGATCTTCTAAAATTATAGGAAAAGTTTGTGAAACCTGCAATAGTTTCCTTTTCGTCAAAAAATTTTGATACAATAAATTCTCTGACCTGACATTTCTAGTGTGTTAATTAGACCGCTGCATATATTTTGCAGGGGAAAAATCACGTCGACTCAGGCAAATCCAGGCATCAATTCGGCGCTGGCAGCAACATTCCAGGAGCTACTTTCATGCCACCAGCACCGCCCTATCATCCTCGCCCTGTGTGCGTTCGTCCAAGCCGTGTGCCTCGACTGCCCCACGGCGTTTGTCTGGAACTACGCAGGAGACCGGCGCAACTGGTGGCTCTCTGGGTCACCACTTGACCACTTGCCCTGTGCGCCGTCTCAACTGCCAATGCCTCCGCGCTTAAACAATCCCGCCGTCAGGAATGAGCTCAGGCAAATGGAAGAGCACTTGAAGCAACGCACTCGAGCTGCAGAGAACCGTTGGTCTATGGACAAATATGGCAGGAATATAACTGGCTTCACGATACACAGAGTCTTGTTGGCTTTGGATGCTTTGGACCGACACGCTTTTGACAGAGTAGAAGCCCTCAGTTCTCTCGACACACTCTATACTAAAATTTTTACCCTCAGCAAAGATAGCCAGAATGAATCTAATGGGGCTGTTGCCGTAGGAAACTCGTCGAGCGGCTTGGGCAGTGGGTCTGGTGGCTCAGGTGGTGGTGGAGGATGCACGTTGCTGTACCGTAACCACACACATGCGACCGTCAACACGGGCAAGCTGAAAGGTGGCACGTGGCCGGAGTGCGGGGACGGCTGGGAGGACGCCGTCGTGACCACCATCTGCGAGTGGGCGGTGACCATGGAACGTTGTGGCGAGCACAGGGCCGTCGTCGCCGCTCGTCTCATTGAGAAGCGCCAGACGTTCTTGCTCTCGCAAGCTGAGTCTAGTAGTGGCGGGGAGTCAGCCTCTTCTTCCTCGTACTATCCTTTCCAAAATCTACTACTCAAGTTTCTGGACGTCCAGGCGCCTGTGTACAGCGACTGCAAAGGTTCAAATCGGTCTCGGGAGTTTGGCAATCTTGTGTTATTGTTTTCTGAGCTCATCCGACACGACGTATTCAGTCACGACGGCTACATGTGCACACTTATTTCACGTGGCGATCTCGCTGACCCACCGGCGCTGCTGAACCCTCCTGCCCTCTCTTCTACTTATCCAGACGCTGCTGAAGAGAAAAGAGATACAATGGATGACGACCTCGATAAAATACTACAGAATATCACTACAAAAGATGAAGATGGTGGTCACGATATTTCTCCTCATCACGATTTGTCAGGGGGATCGGCTATGATGGAGGACGGTCTCAACAGCGGCAGTGCTAGCCGAGCAAGAAGCCTTGCAGCGGACGGCGACTCACTCCGTAAATCACCTCCCCGGCATCTTATTTACGCTCAACACTTCCCACTGCCTTCAGATGACTCGTACGCGCACGAGACTAACCAGCGGTATGTCCTGCTCTATGGAGTTGGCAAGGCTCGGGATGAAGCTAGACATGCTGTTAAAAAACTTACTAAAGAAATACAGAAATTGTTCAGTAAGAAGTTCAGCATTGATATAGCTGAAGGAGGCAAGGTAAAGAAATCGAGTCGTGGAGAATTCAGTTTCGAAAGTCTCCTTAGTCGCTTTACAATGCTGTCCTACTTCGACCAGCACTGCATCACCAGCAATGTGGCGACCCAGGTGCTGGAGATGCTGTGTGGCTGTGGCGCAGGTAACAGCAATTACTTGCCGCTCCTAGACCACGTTGCTTTCCTCATGGACCTCATGGAGACGGGACTGAACATACATGGTTTGCTGCAGTTGTGCGTACAAATCATCAAAGAAATTGTCGAAATTGAGGCGGTGCTTACAGAACGCGCCTGCTTGAGCGGTACTTATTGTCCTCAGTTGACTTTACTCGTCATGGGCGTTTTGCGTAAGTACAGCAAATGGCTTCTCGTGTCACAGGATCAAACTTTACTAGTTTTTGAGAGACTTTTGCGTCTCGTCAAACATGTCCCAAATCCCAGTGAATGCACTTCTGCAGAACGCATTGTCTTCTCTTATCTCCATACTCTTTACAATTCTTGTTGCTTCATAAAAGCTAAACACAGCGAAAGCTTTGCTCCTCTCTTAACCCGCATCCGCCTGGCGATGAACTGCTCTCACGCATCTGATAGCAAACACAGGTACAACCCTCACATCATGGAGGACTACATCAGCAACCCGAAGCTGCGAGTGGACATTGCACTAGTGAAGCAGCAGCTTGCAGAGCCTGCTAACCGCTATAGCTTTGCCTGCAGTGCGATCATGGCTGCAGTAAAAGCTACATCCAACACACGGCTCAATGACATTGCTATTATGTGTGCTGAAATGACTGCCTGTTGTACTGCTCTCAACTCGGAGTGGCTTGGCATACTCAATGTTCTGTGTTCGTCAGTGAGCAGTGCTAACATTGCGAGTGGTGCCGTAGGTGTTGGTGGTGGAAACTCTCCATACAGTGACGTAGTGGCCGAGGTCGACTTAAGAAACCCACGAACTGCCGCAGCCGCGCATGCTTCTCTGTCTGTGTTCACTGCCGTTCTCATAGCCAGGGACTGCTTTAGTTTCGAGGAACTACTCGACCGAGTTGTCGTTCACTCCCTTAAAGCAGCCTGGAACAACGGGAAAGGAAATCCTGAAGTGGAGCCAGGTGCCCGACTGTCCTGTCACTTGCTGCTCAGAATATTCCAGAGTATTGACTCGTCTCAGCCTGCACAGTATTGCCCCGGTAGTCCGAGCAGCGGCAGTGGAGGCCCTGGCACTATTCAAAGAAACGTACGTCTGAGCTGCGACAGACACCTCCTAGTTGCGGCTCATCTCACCTTCAGAATGGAGCCTGTGCTGGCGTTTCTAAAGGTGAACAACTCTTAGACGACACATATTTGGCTTCTATTTGAATCAATTTACCTGTTAAACTAGCTGTGCTGACTCTGATTTTGTATGTTTTGTTTATGCAGGCCATGTTGATAGTGAGCGACGCGATGAGCGGGCTGAGCAAGAACAGCAGCAGTAGCATCTCCGATATTCTGGGCACTTCTTATTCGGCAGCATCCGAACCTGTGCCCGCCGGGTGAGTGCACTTCCTTCCAATTAATAGAGTTAATTATTCGCGAACAAATTGTTGGTGTTGCGTTAAGCATTCTTTGTTATGGTATAATAATTCGCTTTTGTGACATGAAACTCGCGTGCTTCATTTAAGTGCACATGAGATGAATCGATGACCAATAACAATAATATAAGTCAACTATCCTAATTGAAACTCTTTTCTTCTGTCGCTGGACATCCACGGCTCAATTGCCTAGAATTTGAATGTAAACAAAATCAAAATCTGAGATGAATATTTTAATACTAAACAGTTATTTATGAAGTGTTAATACTGTGAGTTATTTAGAACACAATACACGCCAGGTGCAGTGTTGAGAAAGCCCCGCTCTCCGACTTCGCTCGGTACGCACTACACCAAATCTGTAGCCAGGATTGGGTTCGTGAGATTTGTCTCAAGTGTCCTGAAAAATTGTGCAACAGTGACAACCTCCTCGATAACATCCTCACTCCATCGCAGGTATATAACGTCATTAGGACTGCTCTCTATTATTATATTTGATCTAAAATTTAAGTTTAATGAAAATTTCAAGTTTTTACCATTTTACACTTGCGATATGTTACAATTATTTTGTTAAAGCACTTCGTTACCTTACGTAATGAAATATGATGTTAGAAATTTAATGATGTTTCAAACCACCGATCTTCAGGCACAACGAGTTCTGCATCACATCTGCCACCCAGACTCACCAAACCACAACACCAGCTCCACTGACCAGGCTACCGTCATCACCAGCATTCTGAGCGACCTCGACGAGTGGCGGCTCAGGATATCTTGGCTGGACCTGCACCTCATGTACGAACAGCTGCGCTCCACGCCCCCCGAGCTAAACCAATGGCTCGATAACGTTTCTCACGTCGCCCTCCAGATGTTCTGTCAGGATGTCCCGCCAACCACCATGAAGCAGTTCAGTGCGTGCAAAGCGAGGCGACGAAAGCTGAGTTCTTTGAGCCTCGTAGCTCCACTCATCTCGCGGCTCCCTCGCATGGTGCAGAGCCGCGTTCTCAAGGCATGTGGTGAAGTGCTCAACTCCGTCAATTTCGCTGCGTACAGCAGTCATAATGTGCCTGTTATACCTCAGCCTGGCAGTCTGCCTGGTGTTGGCAGTGGCGTTGGCAGTTCCAGTAGCTCCCTTTCTGGTCTCGGCGGACAAGGAAGTTCCCAGTCCCATGTAAGCTCGTCCGTCTGGCTCAATTTTGCTGAAATTTAACGTTAACTTCATTATTTTTAATTTGATATATTACATAAGACGCTCATAATTACGCCTGAAATTGCATTTTAATTTGTTGAACCTACCGTGATCTACAGAGTTCTCAAGTATTACTAGTTTCGATACGAAGTGGTATAGTATTGATATCGCGCTTGCATCTTTATTCAGAACTCTGGAGGCGTTGGGAACGGGTGCGCGGGAGGTGTTGGCGGTGGCAGCGGCGGCGGCAGACATGCACAAATTCCTGTACAAAACCAGCGGCCATTCCTGCGTCTGATGCTCATGTGCCTCGAGGCTGCACAGGACGACACGCTCAGCGACCTTCTGGAGAACCTGCGCATGCAGCTCATGCAGCCCGTCGTAATCTATAGAGAAGTGAGACTTGTTCCCATTTCACGCAGTTATACCAAACAAAATATCTTCCATGTAAATTTGTTCTTGCCATTATTGGTTATGTAGTAGGACGTTTCCAAACTAAAAGAGGGGAGTTACTACTGTTTTAGCGTTTTCATCAGGATTTTGTGCTGTTGATGTTGTTTGTGAACAGTGTCATGGTTTTTCTCAACGTGATGCTCTGCCAATCAGCTGGGCCGAAACCGCTGCGAAGTAGATCCTCAGAAGCGACGCCTCATGCTGGAGGCTTTGCGTCTGCGCTTTGGTCTCATTGGTGGCTTGTTTGACGTGATCCTGGCGTGCTGCTCTAACGTCATCATCACAGAGTGGGCCATTCAACTGGTGCAGCTTGTGGTCGCCGGGGTCATAGACCTCACCAACAACAGGTTTGTGCTTGGTTCCTTCATGGCTTAACTCTTTTTAGCGCATTTTCTCATTTATGGAAAAAATGCACTATTGTGCTCGCCATGTCCGTCCGTCCGTCCATGACCTCAAGTTTTCGTCGACGAGAAAATGCGCTCTCTGTCACTCACTGCAGTGAGTACTGAGTTATATTTTTTCTATCTCTGCTGAATTTTAACCATCAATAATAACTGAACATATTAACAACAAAGCTATGCTGAGTAATGCCTGTACATAAACAAGATCCTATTTGCTACTTTTCTTGATCTTTGCTGAATTTTAACCAGCAATGATGACTAATCAAACATATTTACAACAGAGCTATGCTGAGTAATGTATGTACATAAACAATATCCTATTTGGGTATCGGTTTTCTTTCCTCTAAATATGGCTAGTGTCGCCATGCTTTTTTTTCAGGTCTTAAGTCCTTCATTCGCCCTACTGTAGCATTAATAGATATGCCTCTTTAAACACAACAGTTATTAAAGATATTTGAATTATTATTAGCATTATTTTTATTATCATAACTATTGTGATTCTATATTTTGTTGGAAGTTAAACACAACAGTTATTAAAGATATTAAGATTATTATTATCATTGTTATTATTATTATTGTTATTATTATTATTATCATAACTATTGTTATTGTATATTTTTTTGACAGTGAGCTGTTCACGACGGTGTTGGACATGCTGGCAGCGCTGATCCACGCAACGCTCGTGTCAGACCCTGGCACCGACACGAGAGAGGAGAACAAGCGCCAGTACTACAACCTCGTCAAGAAAATTAAAAAGGTTACTTCTTGATGCACTCAGCAAAACCAAACCCAAACAAAAATCGTAAACATTTAATTGTTAGAAATCATTAATCATAAATAATTTGACCAAACTGCCACAAAAATCCAGGATAAGATTTGCTTTTATGGATGATGCGCAAATATCACCACATACTACATTAAACTTATAAGCTATTCATTTTATTTCATTTGCGTGGTCTGAGTCGGTATTAAACAGATTCTGGTTCATCAATATTACTTTGTCTACAAACATTATTTTTTAACGTCTGCAATTTGATTGAAAAAACTAATTAAATAATGGCAAAGCCAATTCATACTTTGCTTCTACATGGCGTCATGCTTCAGCCCATATACTCTCAATTTGTAATTTATTTTCTATTCATTAGTAACGATTTTTATTTTTGCCTTATCAGCCACATACACGGCACGAAACAATATCCATTTACATCGTGAATCATGTATTTTACGATGTAATAAATAATCCACATACATGGCACGAAATAATATCCATTTACATCAGTGGTTTCCAAAGTGGGCGATATCGCCCTCCTGGGGGTGGTGGAAAGATCTGTGGGGGCCTCTGGAAAGATCTGTGTTTAACCTTTCTCTTTCAAAATAGCAGCATACTATATATCAAGAAAGAGGCTTTTGTTTTTACATGTGTCTGGCAGCGGGGGAGGCGCTAGAGATTCATTGGGGAGCCAAGGGGGCACCAGCCTGAAAAAGTTTGGGAACCACTGCTTTAAATCGTGAAGCATATATATTAAGATATAGGTAATAAATAAACCTGAAGTATGGGATTTCGCAGGAGGTGGGCGAGTTGAACAACGTGTCGATGAGGCTGGTGCGGCAGCTCATTCCCATTCCCAAGGCACAGATGGAAGTGGTGGTCATGGAACCCTGGGGCTCCATCACTGACAACAAAGGCAACCGCCACCAGGACTTCGATAAGGATAAGAAACACGTAATTATTTATATATTGGTTTTTCCTATCTGATTTGATTAGTACAAAATATATCTTAATATGATCCTATTAAGATTTCATTAATATAAAGCTTTAATCGTGCGTTATTGTTCTTGCTGCATGTGGGGTTCCATATTTTCTCTACAGCCAACAAACTTACCTTTGGACGATCAAATATTTCAAAGAGAAGAATGATCAAGTCCGGAATAATAACGTTTGTAATATTTACTATCAATGGTGCTGATTGTGGCGATGCTCCCACTCTGAGATTTAATAGCCATTTGGTATAAATTCCGATCCACGTTTACCATGAAAAATCCTCACACCAACGTTAACTATCGTCAGTTTTGAAAATATCCTGTCAAATGACAAGATTTAGATCTTCTATGAACAAGTCACGAAAAGTTCAAGATTCGGCGACAGGCCACATCAGGCCTACTCTTTAGCGCCGACATCACTATGTTATGTTATGTTAACCAAATGACAGCCTGCATAAAATTGGGACGTGAATACTAATTTGGTCGAACTAAGCTTATTGAAAAAGAACTCTTGACGACGACCGAGCGTCCAGCAAAACAAATGTTTGTCAGAGCACCAACGTCTCACCTTCATATTATTTTCTTAGGGAGTGCAGGGAGCGGACAAGCAGAAGCTGAACCCATGGGATCTGCTGGAGGGTCACCGTAGCCCGGCTCCGCTGAGCTGGGCCTGGCTGGCGGCGACACGCCTCACTCGCAAGACACTCAAGTACCACGACACGCACCAGCTGCTGCGCTTCCACACGCACACGCAGCAGAAGCCTTTCTCTTACTTCCTGGAGCCGCCTCCTCTGCCGCCGGAGGACTTGGAGCCCGTGCCTGAGAAGCAGGTCAGTCGTTGTCTTGCCTGCAGAAGCAGGACAGTGTTTCAGAAGAGTTCCCTGGTAAATATTCAATTTTTGGGTATTTTACACCACGAGAACCAATGCACATGATAAATTGGCTGCACAGGAAAAAAAATGAAGCCAAATAAAAGATGTCAAACATTAAGGCACGAATGTTGAAGATTCTATTTATTATTTAGATCCCTTTGCTTCTGCATCTATCTTTAACGTATAAATGTGTGGCACAACAATAGCTGGACTATCAAACCAATCTTTGCTCCAGACATTTCAGTTTTAATTACTAGTCATCGAATCTTAGTTCCGCAAAAGCCTGTGGCCGATTTTATTTTACATGGTTTGACTGTCCAAGTCCTCGCACTTAGTCCTAGACTCCTGGTGAAACTATTTTCGTTTAGATGTTTTGTCTTAATATTAACATCGTATGTGTGTTAGTTTAGTAGAGCCTTTCTTTTGTACAGGTGATCATGCCTCAACTGCCAGGCCTGCTGAAGGCGTTCTGTCTTAGGATTAACATCGTACCTATGTGTGTTATTTAAGTCGCAACCTTGTTTTGTGCAGGTAATCTTGTCTCAACTGCCAGGCCTGCTGAAGGAGGAAGTGAAGGCTCCTGACACGCCCACGTCTGATCACAGTCCTCGCCCTAACACCAAGCAAGGTCGTGGCGGTGTTGGCGCTGCCGGCAAGAACTCCAGCAGCAGGAAGAGGAAACCACGAGCTCCTCCCGCGATGCCTGCCATGAACCAAGTCGTGCGTAACTTTCTAAGCAGCAACTTTTGATATCCCAAGTCGTGCATAGCTTTCTAAGCAGCAACTTTTTATATCCCAAGTCGTGCGTAACTTTTTAAGCAGCAACTTTTGATATCCCAAGTTGTGCGTAACTTTTTAAGCAGCAACTTTTGATATCCCAAGTCGTGCGTAACTTTTTAAGCAGCAACTTTTGATATCCCAAGTCGTGCGTAACTTTCTAAGCAGCAACTTTTGATATCCCAAGTCGTGCGTAACTTTCTAAGCAGCAACTTTTGATATCCCAAGTCGTGCATAACTCTCTAAGCAGCAACTTTCGATATCCCATCACTTATTAGCTCTCAAATTTTATATCTTGCATCCCTACGATGTTGCAGCAGAATTCAAGTGCTAGCATAACAAAGAGTTTATTTGTATACTTGTGCTTATGGTGCTCCTTGAAGACCTTTTCTTACTGAGAAATGATATGGTTGCATATAATATAACCCGAGCACTGTTGAAAGTTTCCACAATAGTTATCTCTGATCCGCAAGTATGCAATTCTTCTATCTTCAGTATTTTGTTTCATTTATTTGTGTGGTAACAGTCATATGATTGCATCATCATGCGTGCTCCGTCTCAAATTAGTGTTTTTCTTGCAGGCTGCCATGCCGATGAACTTCCAGCAGGCAAATTACGGGAATGTGGGCGGTGGGCCGGTGGGCGGAGGCATGTCGCAAGTGTCGCAGTGGACTGGCAACTACGCCCAGCCTCAGCCCCAGCAACCTCAGCCTCCTCAGCAGCAGCCCCAACCTTACTACCAGCAGCTCCCCCCAGGTCAGACTTAGCTTCAGTTGTGCATACCTATCAAATCTCATATTTTTGTGTTCACTGTTAGTGTGATATTTGTTGGAATTAGTTTAGTTATGTGTCTCACGGTTATCATTTGATCTCTCGCTGCCGAGGCATGAGTGCAGAAGTTAGTACTTGATAGCTGAATTTAGCTTGTTTTATACACGAGTCGTTAATGGCCAGAAAATTCGTTGATCTAAATTTTCAGATGATTGCTTGATCAAAATGCAGGTTTAATGAAGTAATTTTAATTTATTAAAGACCTCTCGTATGTGACAACATTCATTTTCAAGATATAGGAAGCAATGAATACTGAAATTTTGGTGGAAATAAGTACATGATGCATGTAAATGAGACGGCAAGAAAATTAGGAACCGTGAAAATAACTCCGAAACAATCTCAAAGCTTAGAAAATCCTGTAGTTATGAGATGGAGAGCTGGAGTCCAATGCGTAGAGATGAGGGCCGCAGTTATCGTCGTTCGGATGATGAACGTTCGGATTACCACTGCAAGATGGCGATACTGTTGGGTTCCTCCAGCACAGTGCCAGTGACAGTCTCGTCGAATTTGACATTGTTAAGTGTGCCCCGAGTCTATTGAATTCATCACGAATTTTGAGATTAACTTACTCGATTGTAATGCTTTAAGACCTGGTCTGGTTGCGAGCTTTTCTCAGGTGGCCGGATAAATGGCTGCTCAATGTCGTATTAGGTACTCCAACTACTCCTATGTAGTCCAAATAATGAAGTATTCCACAACACCGCCACTTAACCTACGCAGTGCACAACGCACGCTCCAACTAATAACCCGCATCAAACAACTACCCCAATCCACAAGGTAACGGAGCGTTATAACCGATGTTCAAGCTAACCTACTCACATATGAGAGACCATCCTCTGAAGACCACGAAGCATTACTGGAAGCAGCACAGATACCGCAGATACGAGTAGTTTCTGTAAACCTTAACGGGACGCCCACGTGGCGAATCCACATAGATTTCTTCTGCCTCGATCAGAACTATCCTCAAAAACGAACTATCCTCTTATTTTATGGCAACTGATTTTTTTACCGTTTACTCTAGCTTACAGTATTACAGACATGATTTCTTAGTCTTAAGTAATTACTATTGCCATCACTCGTGTTGAGTTTGTGATGTCCCTGACAGGTGGAGGCTCGCGGTATCCTGTCTACTCTCAGAACCGCAACGCCATCCGCCAGGCTCTGCTGGAGCGTCAGCATAACGGCATGTCGGGCGCCATGGTGGGCGCTGGGCAGAACCCTCAGCAGCAGCAGCCTCCACCTTTCGCCACCATGGGGGCCATGATGAACCCCCACCAAAGTGGTCCAATGATCAGGCAACAATTGAGAGGTACAAACCAATGGAACATTTTGCTATGAGCAATATTTTGCGATCATGTCTCTTTGACTTGCATATTTATCTGGCTAATATTTATGTCACGGTGTAAATGGAATATATAATCAGCCTTTTTGTAAACTCTCAGTATCCTCAATGAATTTATATGATGATAGTGTATTTCAGTTAGAAGAAGATATTGCTAGGCGAAATTCATACCCCTGTATCACTTAATATTAAGAACTAGATCCCTCTGGAATTCATTTGTACGTTAAGAACTTGTACAATATTTTGAGTACATCGATTCTCTTATTCATGTAACAAACGAGCATTCTGCGTGCTCGTTTATTTCTTCATTGCTTTATTTCTATGTTCTTGTGTCTGGATAGGAGCAATAGCGGCCAGGCCTCAGCCAGGAGGCTTGTATCCTAACAACCCAGCGGCCGCGGCAGCCATGCAGGGAGCTTTGGTGGCGCGCCAGAACATGCCAGGCCAGCCTGGTGGGATGTACAACCCAGGTGCTGGAGGTCCTGGTGGCCAGGGAGTGAACAGCTCGCCTGCTGCTGCCATGGCTGCTCAGTACGGCGGATATCAACAAGGCGGGCCAATGATGAACAGTGCCGGGGCTGCAGGCGCCTCGATGATGAGCCACAGCTACCAGCAAGGCGGGTATCAAGGACCCGGCATGATGGGCATGAGGACTCCTCAGCAGCCTGGGTACATGAGCCAGAGGCCGCAGTACATGCAGGTACTTACTGTGTGAAGAAAACCAAATAAAATGCTCACTGTTATTCTCCATTAAACTCATTTCATGCTTTCATGTATTATTTAATGATGATTTATAATTCTATAATATTTGTGTTAATTTTACTGCGAAATGTTGGTTATTCTATGTGACTTTAAATTGATACAATCAAACCAACATGTTCACTGGATATGTCGTGTGAATAGTTTGTGAGTTTGCTCGTTACTTGGAAATTAGTATATGAGTTAAAGATTTTTATAACTTGTGTTCTGTTGCCCAGACGACCTCAGGAGCTGGCACCATGGGCATGATGAGTGGAGGTCAGGCCTACGCCAGACCCGGCATGTCCGGCATGGCGGGAGGTGGCGGTGGCGGTGGCATGTCGGGAGGCACCTTAGGTCCAGGAGGGGCCATGGTAGGAGGTGGCGGTGGCATGGGTGGAGGTGGTGGTGGCATGGGTGCAGGTGGTGGAATGGGTGGAGGTGCTGGAGGCCCTGACGGCAGTATGATGCACCATCGCATGATGTTGGGGGCCGTCACCACCACGAGCAATGCCAACCAGCAGTCGCAGCTGCTCTCTCATATGCAGCGACCCATGCAGCAACCACAGCAGCAACAGCAACAACCTGTGGTACAACAACAGCAGCAACAACAGGCACCTGTCTCGGCGAACGCCCAACAGCAGCAAAGTCAACAAACGCAGCGACAGACCATGATGGGCCAAGGGAGAGGGTACCCTCAACCTCCGTACTAAATCTCCAAGAAAATTATTATGACACTTCAGTTTAAGTGGCGAAATTTCGCGCCACTGTGTCGTTTATGTTGCTCTAGTTGTAACTATATTTCTGCATATTATATGCATTGTTTAAATGTTGTTTTTTCGACACTGGGTCTGAAGAAGATTATGAAAATCTATCACTATTACTGTGATAAGTAGAGGGAACAATTCAAGCATCTCTTAGTTTAAACACATTTCCTATTTTCCTGATAACAATTAATGATATCGCCTAGCTTTTCCTGAAAAGGCTTTTTCCTCGTGAAAAGCTGAGCATTCCATCGTGGAATTTTATACCAAGTGATTGCTGAAGCTGATACTCTATGTCTATGTCATCCACGTACTCTGAATCACGAATAATGAACTTATAATTGTTTGATAAAATTTGTCCATGCGCTACATTTTTATATTAGGTTTAGTTGACTGAAATTTTTCCTGAAATGTAAGACTAACGAATTCGCCCATGAGCTAATATTTGCTTTATTACTATTGAAATGAGTTCCTCGTAGCTAAATGAACTGGTGGCCCCTTGGTTGCTATTTGCTGTATTTAATCGTCAAATTTGCAATTAAATTTTAGTAATGAATAGTCCATTTAATTCGTGTCGACTTATTTCCATGGGACTATCCTTGTCACTGTCGAGAACCACCTCTTCATGTATGATTTTCCTAACCAATATTTATTTGTACATGGTACGGTATTTATAAGTTAATTAAGTTAATAATTCATACCTTAATATTTATTGATTTACTTTACGGCAAATGCCAAGGTGTTGTTTGCCTTTCACAAGATATTTGGCTGGTTGATGGTGGGAAGGCGGATCATTTGTTCCCAAATTTCTCTTGATGATATAGTGAAAATCTACGGAGATTTTATTCTTGACTGGAATATACAGATAATAGCGGTTTCAGCGTCCATTAGGCCGCAGGCCTTTCGCTGATTCTTAACATTGCAGAACACTCACAGCATTTTGCGGTCTCGAACTCGCAACTCACTGCTCCAATTCTCCTTTGCTTTACCGCCCCGGCCTCCTTGCCGATTCTGACCAGAAACTGGCGCACAGAGCTGGGATCGAACCCGCACCTCTCTGCTCCGATCCCTGATACTCTGAACTTAAACCACTGGGCCACCCTGCCTCTTAGTGCCACCTTAGTCTTAGATAAGGTATTGGTAGTTATCAAAATTGACGGAATGAGTTTAGTTGTGCAAAAATATGTGAGAAGTCACGTCGGCAGTATCATATTTAATTTTTTACACAAAACTTGACTTTATCCCGTCGTGTTGTACTTGATTCGCTCAAGTCATTGAAGTGTTTGTTAATTTTTGGCTCACATATCACAAGCTTTCAAGATTTTTGTGATAGTTTTTTGTTAAATTTAATGAAATTCTAATTTTAATGACGAATATATCACAGTTATATGCACTAGTGCCAGTCGACAGCTCAGGCCCGCGATTAATTATTTTAGATTTTATTTTATTTGCAGCTCATATGTCAATTTTTACAGTGATGGATAAATTTTAATTTAATTTTTTATTTAATTTTTTTACTCCTACTCTCTTCTATCTTTAGTGGGGATGAATTTACGATGTCAAATTGTTATAATTTTTCCAATACATTAGGCCTCCTCATGTCGAAAATCATAACTCATATTGATGTTGAGTACGTTTAATGGCTGACTGCAATTACTGATCCTATGTTTTATAGTGTTCCATGAACTTCTTCATGGATGTACATATCTGTAGAAATATTATTATGATTTTTATTATAGTTGTATGTTTATTAAATGTCTTATCTTATTTCCTATCTATATTTAGAGGAACATCTTCGGAGGGACTTTAATACTTTTGTCAACTAGTAATAATTTCAAGAAAATTTGCTGCGTTTTTGACACAATAACCTAGTAAACCACTATTGCTTTTCGTGGCAGTTCTCCATTGTTATTGTTATTAACCTCATAGTTTTGTTCCTTTGCAACGTTGAAGCAACCGATAACTCTCCTCGGCACAGCTTGCTTCTGTAGAAATTTCATTTTAGCTGTTAGATTAGCACCATTCTTTCAAAGAAAAATCTAGTTTTCTTCAACAATGACGGTTATCAGTTCGTTAGCCTACTCATGAATAAAATTGTGGAGACGTTTTTTAAACTCCATCGTGAATCTTTCAGTTGCATCAACAAATCTTTGATTGACTGTCAACCCGACAGATTTGTTATCAATTGGCACCCGGCTTTGGTGTGAGCGAAGAGGATTTCGATATTGTCAAAATAGGACTAGCTTATCTATAACAAATGATTGAAACAAGTCAGGTGCCGAGTTAAGTTTTATGATTTTGCCAACAAGTTCCTTGGAATTACGTCCAATATCAAAGACTACTTGGTTCAAATATCAGTATCGTTTAAATGTAGCATGATTTTCTCGTTCATAAATCGAGTTAGTGTTCATTACGCCGATCTCTAATGGAACCAATATTCTTATCTCAGGCGTAGAAACCACTTGCTTAGAAGCCAAAAGTGAGGACCGCTGTCGAAAGCTTACTAAGAGGGTTGAGATGCTTTCTACATCCAGAAGACGCGTCCAAGCTTCTACAACTACAAGGTGTAACAACGAAGAGATACACGACCTTGAGTTCATAAACATGTTGACTATTCATAGAAGCACCATTCAAATTATTCGGCGGAGAATTCTAATTATGTTTCGAACCATTTTGGTGGTGATTAGGCCTAGATTAACTTTTTGATGGCAGAGAAAATTGTCTGACCAATGCAACTTTTGCCACGCGTTCTTCCAATTTCAACTACTTCCTGACTCCAAACTCGATGTGTAGTGGGTCTCTTAGGTACCAAGGAGACGCTTTCCCTTCAATAGAAGATGCATCCGCGGTTCTCTTCTGTATTTTTGTCCTTGCATTTCCAAGTATTTTGTTGGTATATGTTCACTGCTAACGACGACAAAGTCCGCTTTAGAATCAGCTATATCTCCCAATTTGTCCAAACACATGCTCGGACAAAGACCATCGTAGATCATGTCATTGTTGAATTAAGTATTATTTCAACCATGGATCATGTGATTGATTTTGTGAAAATTTTGTACGTATCTCTCGAACCAGTATCCTCCCTTGGACCCTTCTGCTGTAGCATTAAATCTTGGTAATGAAAGTGCACTTATTAATCTCGAAATACAGCAGTATTTTTTACGAAGTCAAGTCAAATCGCAATGTTTAAATTTGGGTGTTCTTTGAAATAAAATACTGCCGCTACATCATCTTTCTGCATAATTCATCCTTCTATTCATATTCGATGATCGAAGTTGTGTCCAACGATAGCAATAAAAAATATAAGCTCACTCTTATATGTATGATTGCAGTATGAACTACTGTTGTTTGAATTTTTTCCGACATCGAGGAATTGTTATTGCATGGTTGAATTATATCAATCATGGGTTATTGCATGAGTTATTGTTTCATATCGCATCAAAACATTTATTGAAAATAATAGAATGTTGTTAGGCTGAGAAAGAATTAGTTTTTAAGAGTTTTTTAAAAGTTCAACGAGCGTACATAGAAACTCTGCTATACAAAAAAATAAAAACAGGGTATGGAGTTTATTTTATTATTGTAATTACTAGGTAAACTCGATATTCACGTGTGAAGTAGAGCCGTGAGTTGAACGAGTAGGACCTACCAACTCGCCGGTGCAGAGCAATGAGCGCTAATCGTGAAGTTAATATTTACTTCACAATCAAGCGAACTTTCCGCGAAAATAATCAAATAAAACCTGGTAACAAGTGTTGCTGAATGTATTTTGTTCTCGATCTTATATTTAGCTCATTGGTAGTTCGTATTTAATAATTTTGAAAGGGTGCTTTTTAGCTGTCGTAAACAAAACGCTGTGAATTTGTTATTAGTCTTATATATACCGATTGCAATAACTGATGTTTCCGATTTGAGGATAATTTATAATATACCTACTATGGTGCTCTTAGACTAAGTTCATAAATTTCTCTGTTTCGGAGCAATTGAAATTGAAACTAGAACTAGGATGACGATGTCACATGACAGTCTGACACGGACAGAAAGCTCTGCCTCTGGAAAATGTCCACTCCATAGTCCAAAGTCATTAGATGAATGATGATTGAACTCCAATCACTTTACTTAATAAACTTGGTACATTTGGTAGGCACTGTTAGCACTTGGCAGGTTTGCAATGCTTCCACATGCTGTAAATGTAATAAATCAGACTCAGTAGCTGAGTAGCAGTCTCCTCTTACTTCTCAGAAGAGTAATTTTCTTATCTTACTCCTCAGAGACAGAATCTTGGAGACTTGGATCCTTAGTAAATCAGTGCCCAATTTTGTGTAGTTTTGAACAATTAGTTTCTCTGAAATCTGTGAAATGTCTTCTATGTTACGATCAGTTAGGAATATACCGGCATTGAAAGCCCTTGCCGAAGCTTCCTCTTATTATGGAACCATCAGGCCTCAAGAAATACTTCACCTACGCAATAATTTAAATTTATTCTGTTCTAGGTAAGTGGCTTTTCTTCCATTTAGTAGAAAATTAATTTTCATCTTCATGCATAGAAATTTTTAACAGCCTCCCTGATAGCATCATTGACACTCCAATTATGAAAGCCTTCAAGAACGGACTAGACAAAGCTAGCTATGCAGGAGCATATGTTCAGTCTTGAAATGCCTAGCAAATTATGAACCAGGCAATAAGTCCACAGTCCAGCAGCTATCTCAATTTTCAGTTACAGAAAGATTGGGTTCCAAAGGCCTAATCCTTTGTGAATCAAGTTAGGAAAAATTCAAGAATCAGCATCAGGCCGTGAGCCTATTTCTTCAGTGCTGACTGCTGACACTTCTATTCTATTCTAATAATCATATAATGTATATAACTTGCAAAAGTGTTGAAGAATTCAATTGAGTTTTTATAAATATTGAGTAATACAAATTATACAATAATACAAATACTAGTGATATACGTTTACTGGAATATCTCATTTGGATTTGAAACCACAAGTTAATCTGATGGTTGCAATTGTTTACATTTTTACAACTTTTCAGGTTTATTAGTGCACAGCAGAAATTTGAGACCAGGAGTGAGAAGGACAACCACAGCTATGAGCTCAGCAACCTGTTGGAGAGGCTCAATACTGAAGGGAGGATGTTTGGTCGCATCTCAAACAAGCTTGTTCAAGATGCTATATCTCTTCTGCGAAAACCTGGTATTTTTTATTAGGACTCTGACTGTAACAAAAATCCTCTTGAAAGCACATCCTTAATGAAGTGTTTGAATGCTTGCTAGAAAATTTGCTGTATAGCTAGTCTGGTTGTTGAGGCTGTGATAAAATTTATTAAGCTAGAGAAAACTTTATCATAATTTTCTTCCCAATTATTACCTACATTTTTCTTTAATTTAAGTATTATTAGTTTTTATTTAGGTCTGAATCACCTATCTGTTAATGATAATTTGTATCATTTATATTTTATAGTTTCATGATTTTAAGGCTAAGGTTTATGGCCAGTCATAAGCCAATTATTTGAGTGCCATTAATCAAGTAATTATTCATTAAAGTGTGTCAAGGCAACTTTGAAAGTACATGAACTAAGAGCAGACAGAAATCTATGCAGCTAATTTCACCCATTGTGTTCAAATTAACCAAGCAAAATTTTTCACCTAAAAAACTTCTCCTAAAACTGTCTCACATTGATAGTTTGTTTAGTGAGGCTGTTTATCAAAATTTATTGGAAATTTATTATACAAGACACAAAGCACAATTAACAGTGGAAAAACTGAAAGATCCATTCTAAGAACCAAGGCATGAGAGCTCTCTCTATTATTAACTTTCAATAACTTATTACATCAATTGTTTGATTGCTTCATCTCAGTCTGGAAAGTCACATAAATTAAATGATTATTCTTAGCAGTGCTCTTGTTAATGTTCAAGTTATCTTTCAGCCTAAAGAATATATTTGATTTCTTAAAAATAAAGATCAATATTAGAGCATTATTTCACTAATAAAAAGTGAATTTGTGCAGCAGACTTTGGGGCTGGTGTTACCAAAGCATTGCATGCAAATTTTAATATCACAGAGTAGGCCTGTAACATGTTCTGATTATTCAGTTTACTTCAATACCGGTATAAGTTAGAGTTCTTCCTATCTTCATATTTATATATTAATATGAAAGCTAATGTCTCAAGCTGGGCGCTGGAGGACATTTCTATTTGTGTAACTCGAACCTATCAAAATATGGTCCTTAATTTGCATATTATATATTGGACTTGAATACAATGGTTGCAACTCCTTGTCATTAGCTGGTTAATCCTCCTATAACTCAGGAAAGTGCTCTAATAACGGATGCAGTTTGAGTTATAAATTGATTATAGTTTGGCAATGAGCATAGTTGTATTAACCTGTTACAATTTGCCACTAGATTTATTATTATTTTTTATTACTAGATTTTTATTACTAGATTTTTAATTACTTTTTTATTACTAGATTTTTTAATTACTTTTTTATTACTAGATTTTTTTATTACTTTTTTATTACTAGATTTTTTTTACTAGATTTTTTTATTACTTTTTTTATTACTAGATTTATTTTTTATTTCTAGATTTATTATTATTATTTATTCATTTCAATGTATCAGAGTCAGTGAGCTCGTCTCAAAGCCTGGTGGTGCTGCGCTGCTGTGGAGCCCTCATGCCCGAAGAGCTCCCTGACTACCGCACCAAGCTTGCTCAGAATGTCTGGCAGATACTCGAGAAACGCGGTAATTGTGGCTTGTTTGTGGTAAAATTCCTGTTTTTATACACCTTCTTCTTGCATTTTATGATTAGAGTATTCTTTGTTGTTCCCATTAAAGCATTTTTTGTTGATCTAAATATATACTTACATATTTCAGTGAAATCTGAAGCATCTTATCATCATAGAAGATGAAATTTGCCATGTGTAATTTGATCTTTTATTTGGGTGATATATAATTTTTTGTGCTTACTCAATGTTTATGGGATAACATAAGAACAACGAATTTTTTAAGGCTCCAAGGAATTTATTCACAACAGATGAACTATAAAACAGGAGCTTTGAATTAAAGACTTCCCTATGAGAAATTTCTTCTAACCCTGAATTAATTGCTTACAATGTATCTCAGGATTATCTTCTGTTCAGGATTATTAGCTCAATATTATTTTATAGAATATTATAATTATTATTCTTTATAAATGGGCCACCATTCTTGGATGAAGCATGCTTTGTCTATGTCTAAATATATTTTTTTTTTTCTGAAAATCAAAACAAAGAAAAGATAAAGTGGTTTGATCTTGACTGTGTTGCTCTGTAAAATTCATCTATCAATTCATACCAGTAGGTATTCTACTGATTTCAATTATTTTCTTTGGAATGGATTTCCTGTTGTAATAATAATATGTGCAGGCCTTATTTTACAACCAGGAACGATCAAATTTGTTTCTTTATTTCAGGTGTCCCCATGGACTTGTCCCATTACAATGCATTGCTCCGAGTCTACATTGAAAATGAATACGACTTTTCTCCAGCCGCATTCCTTGAAAATCTAGAAAGTAAAGGAATTGAGCCCAATCGCGTGACGTACCAACGACTCATAACTCGTAATGCACAGGTAATTTCTCTTTTATTTTGATTATTTTCATCTAACGGACAAGTAAATAGCTGCCATTTGTATTGTCTGTACGTATCTGCAATACAGGAATTGTTGTAGTGAATCAGGGGACCGTCTCGCGCAAATAATAAATCATATACCTTTGGGTCGGATCATTCTGAAATTCGGTACACATATGTAAAATGTAAAACAAAATTGTTTTTGTTCGTGTGAATTTTTCGAAAAAAAAACGAAAGAAAACGTGAAATTAATAGAAAACGAAGAAATAAAGGGGTACTTTAGAAATCTATCTCCTCCTACAGTATATATGCTACAAGGTCGAGACACGTGTCATTCGATCCGTAAAGACCATATCTAGCGTTCACGTGTTCAGTTTTTTCAATTTCGAATTTGTTCCTGATGGAGGGGGATTTAAAACATGTAACTGCAGCACAACTCAAGTAGAAACTATATTCAAAGATTTCAGCAGCTAATTACTTTATATCTAATTACTTAAAAAACTCTCCCACCCGCTTCCCTTTAAAGAGACGTCATGAACGTAAATATTGGCGTACAGCGATGGCAGTGGTACCATTGGAAAGAGCAGAATTCCAGCTTTCAGATGAGCACAAAAACCGGAAAACGCCAGAATTGAAAATTTTAGGCGAGACGGTCCCCTTAATAGTAATTATCAAGTAAGCACTTAATGATAAAACTTTGTTTTATTTGCAGCTTGGAGATATTGAAGGAGCCACCAAGATTCTCGAAAAGATGAAGGAGAAAAATCTGTCCATTAATGAGAGCATCTTTAATTCACTCATCCTTGGTCACTCCAGAGCGGGGTGAGTTATAGTTGTACGATATCCTTTCAAATTTCCAATTAGTATACCCGAGACTTGTTACATGAATAAAGTGTGTTATGTATATAACACTATATAGATATATAGTGTTATGTTTCTATATATTATACATTAACATATATATATTATTTTATATATATTAACATATATAGATATACATCATAAATAGTGTATATCTACTATATATTATAATCTAGTAGAATGCAGTCACATCTAACATGTCAAACAAATCTTCAAATGATTTTAAAAATTTGTTAGATATTATGTTAGCCCAAGGATCAAAGTTTGACCAAGTGTGCTGAGTTTTATTTTCTTGTTTCATACACAGTGACACAAAGAGCGCTGAAGACATGCTGCAGGTGATGCAGAGTAGCGGCCTGGAGCCTTCAGTGGACACCTACCTCGCTCTGGCCATTTCTCAGGCCGAGCATGGCGATATAGAGGGTGTCAAGTAAGGACCAGCTACAAAGGTTGCTATTAACATAGCATGTTTGCTGCTTGCAAGCTCGTCACTGCGATAGTTTTATTATTGTTTTTGCTGCATCAAAATAGTCATTCACACTTGAATGTGCATACATCTTTGTTTTCTTACTTTCAGTTATGTGTGAACATATTTAGAGTATTAACAAACTGCTCCATTATTAATTGACTGATATGAGCGTTTTCTCTGATGATTAATGATGACGTTTTCTGCCACTTGACGTATTCTGTGTTCTCAAACTCCTGTGCCATAATTCTTGGGTTCAAGCAAGTAGAAGTTGATCTCACTGTCAACTGGCTGGAACTTAGCATTGTTTGGTATCACTTAGGGCCACCATCAGCCAGAGCGCTGGGCAGGAGCAGGCGCTGCATGATAGAGACATCATGGAGGTCATATACGCACTCGCCTCCAAAGGGCATGCCGAGCATGTTCCTGAGGTAAAGTCAATCATTTCATATATTTAATATGTTAGTTGACATCAGTTTTAGTCTAGGTAAAATGGCTCTAAAATCTGTTGTTTCAGTGGTATAAGATCTTCTATTACTTGAAAAGCTTCTATGTTCTTTGTATCATAAGAATATTTTCATCATAAGTATGAGAATTTGTGTTATTTGTGATCCAATTATTTGGTGGCAAGTTTTGCATACATATGCATTTTCATGACTATGCTAATAGTAACGAGTTAAAGAGTTCTTATTTTTCCCAGATGATTTCCTTGCTAAGGAAGGGATGGGGCTACAACCAGGACTGCAAGAACCTAATTTTCCGCTTGCCTATAGTAACCAGTTAATTCTTATTTTCCCCCAGATGATTTCGTTGCTAAGGAAGGAATGGGGGCTACAACCAGGACTGCAAGAACCTTATTTTCCGCTTGCCTATAGTAACCAGTTAATTCTTATTTTCCCCAGATGATTTCGTTGCTCAGGAAGGAATGGGGCTACAACCAGGACTGCAAGAACCTTATTTTCCGCTTGCTGAACGCTGGTTGTGACGACTCTGCGCGCCTCGTCTACGACACAATGGACTCCCTTGCTGACCCTGAATCTCAGTCCAACCTCAACCAGGGACTCTTTTATGTCAAGCATCTCATCATTAGAGACAAGGTATTTGCTACAGTGCACTGTATCTTATTTCATTACTTCAAGAAATTCAAGTATATGCTATATCTTCTGTTAAAATTATTAAATTTTAATATTTATTTAAAAATGATGGATCAATGAGGTAAAATGGCTCCTTGTTAATAATTCGGAATGATATGTCACTTTTTCCAGCTAATAATAAGAATGTTTTTTCCAAAACGCGCAACATTCCTAGAGCCTCCGCAGTTCTCAAGTATTTTATCAAAGATTAGCCATTCAAACACATTGAACTCCTTGGTTAATAAACAAACCAATATTATTTTGCTTTTATGTATTATTCATGCAGTTCTTTCAATCTTTCCGCAACGTATAATTTAAGTCATCTGTGGCTAAGTTAATGGAAATTTATATTACATGTATTACTTCTAAATCCATTATTAAATCTTTAGATGCATAAAAAATGTACAAGAGTAACAGAGTGGAATCAGAAGAGAAGTAATTATCATCAGATAATAAACACGGGAAACTAACATTAGAACCCATCAATATTTAGGTACGGCGAGGCTTTTCCTAGCCGCGTGGTAAAACCACTGCATTTGTCGGCCCCTCAGTTTGCTTTACACTAATTATTCTCCTTTTAATAAGCAATTTACTACAAAATTTGGGCCGCCTGATACCATCATAAAATTTGGGAATTAGTTTCACCATTCACAGCTAGACTCACCACAATGAGTTTTCTTCCCAACCTGGAATAGCACTTAATGCCTATCATGCTTCAATTATATTCATTGTCGTTACATTGTTTTTCAATTTCTTCAATTTTACAGCCCATATCATCAATCCTGAGCATGTGCGAAGACGTCTCAGGCAGCAACCCTCACCTGCTACAACGTTCCCTCGAGGCCGCCCTCGCGCGCAATACGAAGCTCGTATACCCCATCATGGACGCTATTCAGGCCAAAGGAGCTGACCTGCGACCGCACTTCTTCTGGCCATTGATTGCACAACTCTCGGCCCGCGGCGATGTTAACGGTTAATTTACTCAACTATATAGCCTTTACTTGATCAAAAACAAGACGCCTAGTAACTTGAATGACAACTCTCGGTCCGCGGCGATGTTAACGGTTAATTTACTCAACTATATAACCTTTACTTGATCAAAAACAAGACGCCTATTAACTTGAATGACGACTCTCGGCCCGCGGCGATGTTAACGGTTAATTTACTGAAATACATAGCGTTTACCTTTTTACCTAGCGTAATGCTATATAGTTCATACCTCATAGCGTTTACCTATACAAGACGCTTAGTAACTTGAATGAATTTATTGATGTTCTTGTGCAGTGCAATATCCAGCTTTTGATTGATGCGAATGGCATCTTGTAAGTAAATTTAATTAATCCCTTCAGGCATTTACGATGTACTGGGCAACATGAAGTCTCGTGGAGTGCCAGTGAGCATGTCCACGATGCTGGACTATGTACTGCCAACTCTCTTCAAGGATCCTGAGGTTCAAGTTGCCGCGGTCATGAACAAGCTCGAGCAAGCAGGCATCTATTACTCGGAGTCCGTCAACGCAATTTCTGCCTACCTTGTGAAGCAGGGAGATTTGGCCGCCACTGTCGATCTGCGTGAGTGACTTAAATTCCTTAGTTTCTCGAAGGCATAGAAGATCTTTTTATGGCATAAGATTTGATAATCAATTTTCAATCGCTCAAGTAGCCTATAGCCTATCGCACTCAATCCCCTTGGCCTCTCACAAGAATTGAACAAGTAAATTGACCAATTTATCAGCTTATTATTTTATTACAAATTTTTTTATTTGTTTTTTCCTGCTGTGTCGTTAGAATATCTGAAGTTTTTTATTTATTTTTATTCTTAATCAGTGAAGCGTTTCCGCTTCCGCCTCGTACCGTTGCTCCGACGAGACCTAGCTGTGGCTGTCGCTCGTACTAGAGACTACACGAACGTCGCGGCCATCATGGGACAAGTGCGTGCGGGCGCGCCTTCTGACCGCGATCATGAAGAAGAAGAAGAATCTCTGCCTCTGCCTGGTAAGCAATGGGCTCGTGACTCACACAATCAGCATTTCTTTTAAGCAATAAATGCTGGCTTGTAGCTGCTGTTTCGTCCACTGTATGAGAAGCCAAAAGTTTGGTCCCCAGAAAGATTTGAAGGATAGATTTTTTCGGAACAACTTTGGTAAAAAAATGTTAAACAGTAAGGAATAAAGGTAACGGAGATGGAAGATCATGTGTCCAAGAGGGCGGATCTTCAATTTTTGTCAACGCCACCAATGAAAGTGGACAGGAGAGCATCACGTGTTTGCCACCGATGCAAGTTTAAAAAATATATATTAATGGTCATAAATGACCTGATGCATCGTCTGGTCCGAGGTGCTCTTTAGATTAAGCTCCATGCTTATTCTTCCATCAGTGTTATTTTAAAACTCAATGAAACGATTGATGATGTGAAGTATAGGGGGATATATTGAATTATTCTGATAGCTGCGATAGTTTCGTTCTTATTAACCCATCAAATAAATTTCGCTCACGCAGTCTCTACAAGTTGAACTTATTTAAATTTAATTTACCTACTCCCTTCCTTGAATTTTTTCATTATGGAATTTTCTCCTATTAGTTAAGAGCAAAACTTTTATTTGTGACAAAAAATTCATTTTGTGGTAGCTAATTTTTCCCTTTTTAGCGCATCTTCTCATTTATGGAAAAAATGCACTATTGTGCTTGCCATGTCCGTCTGTCTGTCTGTCCGTCCGTCCGTCCGTGACCTCAAGTTTTCGTCGACGAGAAAATGCGCTCTCTGTCACTCACTGCAGTGAGTACTGAGTTATATTTTTAATTTTAATCAGATGGAGAGGAGATGGAAGAGGACATCAAGAACCCTGCCGCCCCTGACTCCAAAGATGACGTCGTAGGCCAGTTCTTAGTAGACGTTACCTACAGGGTTGGTTCTGACGCTGCTGATTTTGACTGGGTCGCGCTTCTCACTGTGAGTATTATTTTCTATGATCCACATGAAAACATCGGTTCCCAATGATACTAAAGTGCCTACATACTCGTAATTACGTTATATTTTTCTTATTTTTAGTATAAAACTTTGTTCTGCTAAAATATTTCATTGGCTTATAATTCGACAAACAATTTAGGGTAATTCTTGAAACAGTGCTGACGAAACTAAAATTACTTTTAATATGTATATTGCTGCACAACGAGAGTCCGTGCACAAAGTAAGTACGTGAGTGTCACATGAAGCTAATATTTTTCAGGCACTGAAAGATCGCGGCCTATCAATTTCAAAGGATAGGGAGGCGACAGTTTCACATCGGTTGGGCTCTAAGGCCACGTCAGAGGTAAACAGCCTCCTGAGCACGCTTGCTTCAGGCTCACTCACCAGGGTTGATCTGGACCGGACAAGTTCATATCAGTCTCAGACCTCCTATGTAAGTATTAAAGTTACAACATATTTACAGAATATTTTTTTATTACATAGATTCACTTTCAATGTAACTGAACTATATGGATACAGTTTGGGTGCTTTTCTTTTCGAGGTGACACTCTGGAAGCAATTCATTTATATTTGAACAAGTCAGTTATTGAACTTATGTTTATTAATACCTGCATAATTTACCAGACCAGAAGATGATGTATTGAAAAATTCGAAACGGATGAACTTAAACTGAGTTGACACTTCCAAATAATAATCGTCAATGCTTAAACCGTTTCGAATTGCCAGCTTTCAATTGCTTGTGCAGAACAGGATGCCTGTTAAGCAGCTTGAAGCAGCGCTGGAGCAATGCACCTCAAATGGTGGTGACCCTAAGAACATCCTCATCAAACTCCTAGCGGCGTATGCCAGAACCGGTGACGTTGAGAAAGCTGAGGAAACTTTCAAGGTACGGGAGCATTTCAGAGCCTAATATTCAGCCATTCCTCTTCGATGCCTCACATTTTATTCTACCAATTATTGAGAAATTTATTTTCAAACCACTATGCTAACTGCTTTTATGTGTTTAGCGCACAGTTGTGTTAGGTTTGATGTATTATATCCTAATGTTTACTTATGTGTCTTTCTCTATAGGTTCTGCAGGAGACTCACCAGTTCCCTATTGGTGTTGGGCTTCGACTTCTCATGATAAACATGTACTGTAACGCACAAAAGCTTCAGCCCGCTGAAGAAATTCTAGCAAGTATCAGAGCCACAGATCCTGACGCAGTCTTCAATTCACCTATGCTGCTCAAGCTTGCAATTCTTTACGTCAACGAAGGAAAAATTGATGGTCAGTGGAAAGCATTTATTATTCGCTGTGACCAACCGATGTGATTGGTTTTACCTGATTTGTTCCCTTAGATTCGGTCATTAGTTTCATCCAACATTTTGATCAACATAATTCTCGAACAATTACTTTCTTATGTGGTATCCTTAACACACTGGCTGATAATGGGCTGATCTTCCTCAGAGGCTGTTTCATTCCTGGAGACTGAGGGCAAAAGAAAACTTGCAGCCAAGGATGAAGCTGGTCATGATGAGCCGGAGAGTTTAAACAAAGACCAGTTTATTGTGAGTATCTTGTCCACCATGAGCTAGGGAAAAGTTGGCGAAATGGATTCAGAGAAATTTATTCATATTCTACTATTGCGGTTAGTTGTGGTTAGATTTCTAGGTAAGTGGTTCACTTCCCTTCTAAAAGAAATACTTTCACTGTAGCGTCTCCATTTCCCGGAGCGAGATAAGCAACGCCCATTTTTGCAGTAATGGACATGCTTCACTAGTAGTTGTCCAATTTTGCCAGGAATGAGCACTCTTTTTTTTTTCAAGAAAAGCGCTCACTCTCAGTAATGGCCCTCACCTCCAATAACGACCCCTCAGTCCCAGTAACGTCCCACTCTCGGCAGGAGGTGATGTGCAGTCGGCTGCTGTCGCCCCTGGCAGACCGCGGTGACGTGGACGCAGTAATGCGTCTCGAGCGCGCTATCCTGGACAACCGCATCGCTCTCCCTACCCGCCGCCTCCTCGGAGCCGGCGTCAAGGCCTACATCGTCAAGTGCGTTCGTCTTACCAGTTCTTAGGCTAACCTCAATTGATCACAAAAATACGTATTTGTGCACTTTGAATGCTTTTTAAAATAGATTATAGCTGACTCGTTTTAGATTAGTTTGCGCAATTGTAGTTACTTATGCAAAATAGAAGTAAACTCGAACAGGAACTTAGTAACGCGGGAATATCAATACTGGTTATATTTAATTTCGGGGTTCACTCTATTCTAAAAACAGGTATTTCAGCTGTATTCCATGGTTATAAGACTACACATATCAGTCAATTTGATTTTGATTTTCGTGTGAACTTTTATTGGAAGTTTCATTTTTGTTAACATTTTATAATGAAAATTTTTGCCTTGTTTTCAATCGTAGCTGCCTCTTTACAAAATCTGAAGCTTTGAAAGATCATTAAATGAAAGTAGAATAAAACTAAATGCCTTGACAATCATAATTGAAACCGACTTGGTTTGGAGAAAAAATATTATCTTTTGCCTTGAACAAATTCTGCATCCCACAACTCAATTCCTATTTTCTCTGAAATCTAAAGTTTATTGAATACTTCAGAGGCGATATTGAGTCAGCTATGGCTTGCATTGTTGACTGCAAGAAGAACTACAATGTGCTGCCGTTCAAGAGCGGGTTAACCAAAGAACTCATCAAGCGAGAAGACACTCAAAGGTAAGTCACACACCCAATTACTGTGCTGCCCTAATGTGTTCTTTGTCTGTATATAATTCAAGTTGTTAACTTCAATCTCTAGCACCCGCATCTCTCTTAAATGTTGAATTATATGATGAATATTCACTCCCTATATCCAATGGAATTTTTTTAGTAAACACGTAACTTTGACTCGGAAATCACAAAATCTTCCGTACACAAAAGCTATTGTTTTCTGCTTTGCTTCCAAGCTTGCGAGAGTAAGAGTCTTGTGCTCATTGTAACCTTTGATACAAATGGTCTTATTCTGCTGACTCTAAATAATTTATTGCTTCCAAGCTTGCGAGAGTAAGAGTCTTATGCTCATTGTAACCTTTGATACAAATGGTCTTATTCTGCTGACTCTAAATAATTTATTGCTTCCAAGCTTGCGAGAGTAAGTCTTGTGCTCATTGTAACCTTTGATATAAATGGTCTAATTCTGCTGACTCTTAATAATAATTTATAATGCGCTCAGACTGCAACAGCTGGTGGACATGACGACGGATCTGTACGGGGAATACAACAGCCTGCTGGACCTCACAATTGGATTTGTGGATGAGGGGAGAGTCAAGGAGGCAAAACGTGTACTGGAGGTGGGAGATTTTTCTCGTCTACTGAAACTTTAATTTCAAAGGATAAAATTTAAACTCCCATGTTTACCTGTGCTTTTCTATATCTGTTCTGTCGTTTCGGTGCGCGCATGGCATTAATAGGAATGTACACCCGTGAAAAAATTAGATCAGTACTCACTGCAGTGAGTGACAAAGAGCGCCGTTTCTCACGTCCGTCCGTTCGTGACGGACGGATGGACATGACGAGCACCATATCGCATTTTTTCCATAAATGAGAAAATATGGTAAAAATGTAAAACATTTGTCAATGAGAATTGTGATAAAGTCTTGAGCCTGATTATGTCTGTTCTGCTTTTCCTAGACTCCAGGATTACGCATCCCGAACGAGCGTCTTGTGCATTTGTGTGAGCTCTACGCGAGAGAAAACAAAACCAAGTGCCTGGAAGACCTGCTTGCAGCCACCGCTGATGTGTCCTCGGTTGACCGACGTCCCATCTTTCATCATTTGTTGAAGTCTATCAGTATGTGTATAATCTATTGAATTATAAAGTGACATTGATAGCTCTAGTTTGTGCATCTGCAAGTAACAATCCATATCTATATGTTTGAGCCAAGGTATTGTGGAACTTTTTTATTTGCTGTTGTTTCCAAATTATATATAACCCTGATAGCAATGAATTTTCAAATACACGCATCCATCTTCAAATGAAGTTCTCTGTTTACGAACAAGAATTCATAGAAGTTGAGGGCTGAAATTTTTCAAATCTAATTCCTGAGTCCTGACTGGTCAATATATCTCCATTAATTACGATGTTCTTTGTACAGTAAAGGATGGAAACTGCGATAAGGCGCTGGCTCTTTGGACACAGATGCAAGATGAAGACGTGTTCATCTCGGATCAATTCCTTCACGATCTTGGCACGTTCCTCCAAGAGAACGGCAAGACCGTTCCTTTTGCTATCCCAGATTTGTCTGGTCGGACTGAAGCTCCTACTCCTCGAATTGTGCTACAGCCTCAAGTCAAGAAGGAACAAGCTGCACCTCGTATCGAAGCTACGTCTGCCCAGAAGGTGCAATTCCTTGGCATATTCTTGGCTTTTTACAATATGTAGACCGCTAAAGCAATTATTAGGTTTAATATTTTGTTTGCATCACACTATCGTGAAAATTTTGTTTGGTTCTTCATGGAAGTGCACTTTTTTTGATAGCCCGTCCGGCTCAGTCAAACTATTTTTTTTTAATTCATTTTCTTCTCTCCCAGGATGATCCTAGGTTGCTGGAGTATCGGAAACGTCTGCAAGACAACGAATTGGATGAAGCTGTTACTCTTTTCAACGAGTGAGTGCGATGGATATTGCTCGCATTGTGTAGTGATCTTCACGTTTATGTTTTATTTCATGGCTGACATCATATTTATAATTTTGTTAAAGCCCAAGTATTTATTAATGGCATAACAAAGAACGTGACAGATGTTTGAACTAGTTAATTAGGGAATATTGTCGTGTGCTGAAGTGCGATATTTCTCCAATGGTGATGCCTGTAAATGACTAAATATCATCAAAATTATTTGTTGGCGGCACCATGCTTCCCTAAATCAGCAAATGTTTTGCAGGCTGTCCAAGAAATCCGAGTCTTTGTACAACAGAGATCGATTAGATTTGATTCAGAAGCTGTTTGAGGCGGACAGGTTTTCCGAGGCTGTCCAAATTATAAAGGTGAGTTGAGATTACAGTCCATTACAACTATGCGTAGTGATTAGTAAGTGCATGGCTCAAGCAAAATACCTTATCGACAGGTCAGCAGACGTGTTTCATCTGTAATATATGCTGATTGTGGACAATTATCATTACACTCTTCACTTTTGAATTTAATTGATTTATTTTAAAAACAGTTATAGTATTTATATACCGTTATTCATCTTAAGAAACCATCTTCCCTATTTCTACGTCGGTCTCGTATCATGCGTGTATGTTATTACATCTATTACAATTTGTTTGCTTCATTAACACTATTTTTATTCTTGATTCATCCTATTTATATTCAAAAGAAAGTTATTTTTCTCCATGCTATTTTCCCTACTCAGTTGTCTCCTAAATTCCGTGGTCAAAGCTTCGTGAAATTCGTCACCTTAAGGCGGGTGCTGCAAATGCTTGCTGACAAAGGCGACTACGACACGATTGATTACTTCGTCGACACGTCTCGCCCCAAGGTGCGGCATTGTATCCTAGAGTTCGCACTAGTGGCGTCAGGAGAAATATCAATGCACTGTTAATATTGCGCACGGTATTGAAAATTAATAATATTGTGTTGCGCGTTGGCGCTCGGTATGTTGGTTTAAGCTAAATTGACATGACGAATCCAGTTTCGCGGGTGTACCCTATCTGAACTGTAATTTTTGTGCGTTTTATTCAGGAGCAAGGTTCCATAGTTCGTCAACTGTGCGTGGCTGCAGGTCGCAGCAATAATGCTGATCGGTGTTTCACGAAGTTCAACATAAGGTTTGACCAGGCAACAACTCCTGAGGAACTGAACCTCGTTAGCATGCAATTCTCAAAAGCTGGCTTCCTGTGGCTCTTGAACAACGACTCGTCACTACTGCCAAAGAGTGTGTGAATAAATGGTCTAATAGAGAGTTCATGAATTAAAGAAACATGTCTAATTTTTTTGTTCTAAATTGTTGGTTCTGTTATTTACTCTAAAATTATGCAGTTGAAATTTTTGTGGTATGGATTTCAGGTTGAATTTGGATTTATACAATGTTTGTTTTAACCTATTTCACTAATTTGAAACTATTTTACGAAAGGAGTATTCACTATTGCAGATGAGAATAATTATCAATAGTAAAAAGATGCGACATTTACTCGATACATTCATATGGTATACATTTTTCAGCTTCAACGAAACTTTTGCCTTGTGCATTTGTTGCTTATAGAAAATAATTGAACTCGAATATTGGTAGCGTTTAAAAGTAATTTACCTTTTTTCAGTGGAAATTTTGGCCGAGAAACTAAAATCTAGAGACGTGATGGACGGCGTTTCTATTCTGTGGGCCTATCACTTCATTAAAGCTGATAAAAAGAAGCTAAGTGAAGTTAGTAACCGCTTTTTTTGAGCTATGTTAAGTAGAACTATTTTTTATAGGGTCGAATTTAAATTCGTTGGTTTTACTATTCTTTTTATATCGCTTTCAGCAAAATTTTTTAGTTAATTTTCTAATTTGATTTCTGTCATGCTTCACATAAAAAATGATTATAGAAGCAAGTTCATTCTGGTTAGAACCTGGAATCAATTGTTAAATTCATCCATTTCAGTCAGGACGATCTAATATTGAATATCGTCTTTTTTCCTTGATACAATCAGTTGAATGAAGTGATGCGGAGCAAGAAGACCGTCTTGCCTCACTCCGCTGTATGTGACTACGTCAGGGACACCAGGGATGTAGCAGTCGCTGAGAGATTTTTGGCGACTTTGGAAGCTAACCCTGAGATGAGCACACCGACCATCAAGTTGGCGACGCACTGCGCATTAATGGACCTGCATTGTGAGCTTTTCTCAATAGCTAAATATATTTTTTATCATCAAGGTTTGGTTAATTTCGAAATTATATCGTAAATTGAAACTTGCTTACTGGGATAGCAATTGACGGTTTCAGTTATGCTTTACTAGACTGGATTTATTTCACCGGTATGATGTCATTATTATATTTCTTTTTACCGGAAACAGGTCACAAAAATTCCCTTAAAGAAGCGATGCAGCATTTGGAAGAGGCACTAAAACTCACTAATCTCGAATCCATTCCCCGAACATCTCTGGAGATAATCAAGGGGCTGCACGCTGCTCACGACCTTCCCTTCCCTTACACCATTCCTACTAGGCAAAGGACCAAGGTAATTCAGTAGCGGGTAATTATCATCCCGTTGCTCTATCAGTGCGGAGGAAATGTTGACCAATTTTGTGCGTGCGCTGTAGTGTATGAATATAACCTTGAAATAATGGTCATAGTCATTTCTTTGTTCATCAACCGTTCTTCCAGGGAAATGGATTACTGAACGCGAGTATGCTTCGTAATGTGAATGTTGGATTGGCAGTATTTTCCATTCAAAATTAGCTAATAATATGATCATAGCCTGAAGAGGTAAAGTCATATACACGCACATATCATGCAATATGGAAATGAACGAGAAATATTTCGTTTCACGTGAAATGAACGCCTGAAAAATAAAGTAACGCTGTTGTTCATTCATTTTTGATCGCTGAACATATCTTTTCTTTTACAGAGTCAAGTTTGAAAACCTGTGGGAGCGGCCTACTTTCACTTCATTTCCATGAATCTTGAGCGTTGATGTAACCAGCTTTTCAATGATTCATCTCTCGTGTGTAGTAATCATGATCACTGTACGGTGGGCATTTAAAATGTGTAAATATGCCTCATAATAATCTACAACCAATCGATGGAACAAATTTTCAGTGAAATGAACTAAATTTGTATTCAACAAGCTAGGGAAAATAAAATCTGACCAGTAACCAGTATTTTATTGTAACCAGTAACCTCAATCCTCCAATTTTTCAGGCAGTTTAGCTTCAGAAACGCGTTGAATTAATACCTGTGGACAATGAAACTGCTAAGAATCCAACTTGATAGTTTCTGTAGTGATTAGAATATTTAAAACTGAATAAGTAATACAATCGACATAACGACATATGTAACATTCCAAATTAAACGTTTAAAATGATTATGGATAAACTTGTATTTGTCACAGTGCATATTATTTTTCAACGTAATCGTTACATCAAGATACACACCTGCTTAGCGATTGCATAAACTTTACGACACGTTTCGAGAGCTGCATCCAAACCATCCTGAAGTTTAGCGGCAGTCACGGATCCTGACATAACCATGGTGGCAACTTGCCCGTTGGCATATAGTGGCATCAGGGCTACCGTCACTGACCCGTTGCTGCCCTCCAACTCATCTTCTGTAGAGCTCGCAGAACTCTTGCTAGTCGCCAAGCGTTCCCCAGCTCGGGCTATGCATTCCTCCTCTTCTATAGACGGGTCCAGGTATATTCGGTCGTTATACCAAGCCTGTATAACCAACCATACATGTCGGTGATTTCAGCAAACAAATCCTAACTGTGAGACAAAAAAAACTGAATAACAGCAGGTTAACACGTAGACTACGAAGTGGTACATATGTGTACCACGAAATGTATTTCTCCAGGACGTAGCGGTACATAATTAAGGTTGCCTAAAATCGGCCAAATCCGAGAACAAAAAAGGCCGATAACTCAATATATACTAGTTTATTTGTAGCTTCCGCTACAAAAATTCCATTTATATTCTTTTTGTAGTATTTAAAATTTAATTAGGAAGTACCCCTATCATAAATTTTAGCCGGCCACCGCAATTGAGAAAAACTAAATCACAGAATTTGTCCGGAAAAAATGACCGTCTGGCAAAACTGTTTAAAAACGGTACTAAAAATGAAATAATAGTACAAGATGAAGCAATCGTAGTCAACGTGTTAACAATGAAAGTCACGAACACTCACAACGGAAGCAGCTACGACTATGTCGTACATCCTGATGTCAGCATCGCACAGTGCGAGACTGGCAGCCGTGACACACGCTGCCAGTACGCCTCCGCTGTCTTCAACTACTGTCAAAAATACGTCAATCTGTGCTTTGGGGTACTCTTCCTGTAATAAACATCGGACATCAGCGAAAGAAATGTCGAGTACTTCTTAGGATTTTAAATGCAAATATTAATTTAGTCATAGTGAGACAACTAATTGCCGTATAAACAATATAAGATAACCTATCTTGTCTTTCTTCGGCGCTAAAAAAAATGTGCATGTGTGTAATAAAAGTAATTTACAATGATTACTAATAGGAGGAATATAACAACTTACTAAAATAATAGCTGCTTCAAGAGCGTCCTTCACTTGCATGCTAAGCTCCTTGACTTGTCGGTCAGGAACTGGAGACCGGCGAACGTAGGAGCTAAATGGCGCCACTTTCACCTCGCACAATACCTTCAATAAGACGAATCAAATTTTATTTAACAAGTATGCATCAAAACTATTACAGGAGATGAAGGATTTAACTAAAATATCGAATAAGAGTTTCATTTTGAACGCATAAGTTACCAAGGTCTGGACAGTGATTTCATCTATATTTTATGGACAACAAAACATGTTTTGTGTGAGTTTTATTTTGAGCCTGTACAGACATTTCAACAGTCTAACTTTCAAGATTTAATAGCAATGAGGTGGTAAGTTAGAACAATTCACATACCTGACCTGTTGATTTGAAGATACTACTTGGGGCCATTTCCTTGGGACCATACACGCCACACACCACTTTAGTACTGCCAAGCTCAACATAGGAAGAACCTTTTGCTTGACTGATGTTAGAGACTCCAAAATCTGAAAAAAATATTGTGATTAACTCATGTTAGCAGTTTCAATCAACCTTGAATAAATCAATCTTGCAGGTACGAAAAATTTATGGGGAGAAGAGAATATGGGAATGATAAAAAATATATACCGTTAGCTCTCAAATGCTCTAATCCAATAAGATTTACATAGCAAGTTGCTGGATTAGGAGCTCAGCTAGCTGTGAAATTCTAAATGAAATTAGCAAGTTGAACTACAATTTTTAATAAAATTACTATTTTTATAAATAAAATAGTTCTAATTCTCTGATGTCTAGGATTGGTAACTGGCCAAGCAGGGTCTCATCTTCAACTCTTTGTAAAATGGTGCATAAGCCACTGTTGAATGAACCAAAACTTCATGTGCTGCACAATGAGAGTTTGTTCATAGCATTGCCTGATTGCCAAAATTAGGATTTTTAGATTCAAATGTTGCCAGTACCAGAACTTTAAGATATTTACAGAGGGATTTAAATGCTTATGAATCAACAAGATCATTTAGAGACATGAACGTTGATACTTTTGCATCACCGCCAGACTGTAGAACAAGGTATTACAAAGATCAAGAAGCCTGTGAAAATATGGAGTTGGGCTTAGCCAAAGGTCTATAGCATCATTGGTTGTCAAATTTTTGGCACAATTGAAGAGGTTCATTTGGTTATACAATTTTCTAATTTCATAGCAAGCACATGTTGGGTTGTGCTGCTGTGGCATTTTAGTAAGTATTTTTTAATGGAAGGAGTTAGGTCATCATCTCATGATAAAGCATTGTTCTTGTTTTTGTCAAGGGAATAACATTGGTTGGTTAAATACAGTCTGACATGTCCACCACCACAATCATACACAAAACTTTTTGGGTGCACTCATTGTTTAAAATATTTTGGCAAAAGCAAGGTACTGAACTATGGAAATTCAAAATATTATGAAATGAAAGACTGGTAGGCAATAATATTTTTTATTCAACAAAAATACATGAATTTGTAGTTGCAAAATTTCATACCAACCAAAATGATGTGATATCAGAGCCATGATAATTTAGAAATTTGAAGGTAGAAGAGAAAAGCAAGAGCTTACTTGCCATTTTTGAAGTGCCAAATAATGGCTTTAAAATTGCTATAAAATATTATTGCCAGCAACATTTTATTAAAAGAAAGGCTTTTTCAATTTATTGATTTAATTTATAACTAAAAAAAACTGGTACAGCAGTGGTACTCACACATTTTTCTGACCTCCAATGGAGCACGGTCATCACTTCTCTTCCCATCATTCAGCAAAAACTCTTCTTTCTCGTTGAATGGAGACTTCAAAACGTATATAGGAGTTGCTGTCTCAGGACCACAATTGCGTCTTGAGTCACGATAATTCATTGTGATTTCAACAAAAATCTTCCTCTTTTTCACTAAGAATTAATTGTACAAATCTCTTTAAGCTTAAACAGATGGTCTTGAAAAAATTCTTGACAGATCTCTTGAAAAATTTTTGGAAATTACTACAATAATATTTATCACCAATACTGTTCCTGAAAGTGAAGGCACAAAATAGTACAGAGTATATTCAGCAACCTCATTCTTGTTTGAGTTTTTTTTTTAATTGATTTTGAGACTATGGGTAAGAACAAATCACACCTCCCATCCTGAGCACAACAGGATTTTTGTTGAAGACTTGTACTATCTTGCTATTTTTGTATCAGTTTGGGTTTCTGACACTGTCACCATCCAGTAATTGTTGTGCAGAAGAAAAGACAAGATAATTAGGCACTGAATATTTTCATAGGGTAACCACCATGCTGCATCTCAGCAGATATTGTCCAAGTTGACAAATTACAGCAGTTCATTTTTTTTGTGGGCCATCTCCCGCACCAAGAGCTGAGATGAGGTTCCTAGGTATATATAAAGCCTTCCAACTTGAGCAAAACTCCTTCATATGGTTGGTGTAAAGCACATAGCTCAAGATGAAATGTCTAATTCTGTCTTCTGTCTTGCACTCAGAGCAGATACTAGAAATAGCCATGTTGAAACAGGTCAACTGGGTCTTCACTCCAGCATGTACTAGTTACAGACTAGCCACTGCACATCCATCTGAGCAAGGTTAAATGTGCAGCAATCCATAGGACTATGGACTATGGTCCGGATTACTGAAACAACTGTGCGGACTATGGTGTCAATCCCTAGTCCACATAATTTATCACTGCTCCAAGGTCTAGCCTGAAGGTTCCCTTCCCTGAGGACTGCACTTCCCTTGCCCACCAGTGCCCAATGTTTCAAGAATTTGGACTTCAACAAACACACACTTCTCAAGACACAGACTAGAACTTGCAGAGCAATTGTTAGAGTGTCCATGATTTGTCATTACCTATGTCAGACTCTTTGTTTCTGTGAATGTATGAACCCATAAACTATGCCATGAACCCAGCACATCAGCTGATCAGCACTCTATCAATCCCCTTAGTTTGCACTGAGTTCTGAATTCTAACAACAACTGAGCAATAGGAACCACTCTATGTAGAAGATAGAAGCTGCAATGCTGCTCATGAATCTGCCAAGATCAATACTGGTTCACCTTGCAGGCTTGCAGAGATAAATCAGTGGTGGTAAGTTGCATGGCCTTGTAAATGGCAAACAATTTGGGCCCTTAGGCTTATGCACTGTGCATTGGATTCAGCAACCACCCAGTGGCCAAGTGAATGGATGGCAAATAAAGGCCAGCAGACACTGATCCAGTAGCAGAACCCATTTTTTAGGTATAAATTTGCAAATGTTGAATGCTGATTCCTTGAGAGCAGCTGTTAGTTCATCATCCAATATGTCCGCTCCAATTGGTCCAATGACACCAGAACACATTGTCTGGTTCAAAGGAAGACAACGCTTCACACTCCATCAGCCAAGTTTAGTTATGCGTAGAAGTTGAGTCAGATCATTAGGGGCATCCTCTTTCACTGTCACCACAAGGAGCTGGCGTCCAGAGTTCTCAGAGATGTGGCTAATGGCTATGCCCACTTGAGTGACTTGACCAATTGGTGATTTAGCCAGAGCTGTGCTAATAGCAATATCATTAGAGAAGAACTTACACAATGGGCATGGGAAAGCACCAGGGCCATTAGGATCTGCAACAGGTTCTATGATAATTACTTTCTTATTGGAGTCAGGATGATTAGGGATTGGCGTGGATGCGTGTTGCTGAGATTCAAATTGATCATTGGCATTCAGAAGGTTGTTATTATAGCTTTCCAGCCTAGGTAGGATTGTAGGAAGCCCACAAATGTATCTGTGTCATTAACATGTAAGTTGTTAATGTCATCATGTCATGTACCTCAACCTCTCACTCTCACCCACTGTACAGAGAGTGGATGAATATTGCAAGATCTTTGGCGATGCTTCAGTAGCAAAATTTACACCTTCAGAAGATTTTGCAAACACATTTAGATTGTGATTCTTGCATTTAATATATTTGTCAGTCTTTGGCCAACTATTTAGAAAAAAAAGTAAGGTTTCCGGTACATTGGATGGATCAGGATGCAGTAAAGCTTGCCCGGAAATCAGTTGCGATGAGTTCCCACCAAAAAAATGTAAACAAAATGTAGTTGCGGTCACATTAGAGCGATTAGACTGCATCATCACATGTTCAGTTGACACTTGCTGTACAATCGGGCTGTTTTTAGGATAAAATTAGTTATTTGTTGTAACACGTGCATGCAACCTTGTAAATAAGTTTGCAGCTTGTAAATAGTTTTTCATTACTCAGCGTAAATGGCTTTTCAGTAAAAATTACCGGGCGACGCATTTTGAAAATGGTCGGCAACGCTTTGGGCTTAAAAACCCATATATTGGCGATGCTGCTTCCACCTTCCACACCCTGGACTCTCACCTCTGCACTAGGTACTGAAGGTAGGAGTAGGACAGTGTCATCGAGGCTGGAGGGCAGCATTTGAGACCAGGTTGGCAATGCACTTGCAGAGAGATTAGGCTTAAAGAGTGATGCAGAGTGAGAGTTGGTCTCAGAGCAGTCAGATGCAGTGGTGGGCACAGCTAACCTAAAAGTTAGCTTTGATAACCGCTAATCCGCTAACTGAAAAGTTAGCTTTGATAACGCTAAACCGATAAATCACCAAAAAATGTAGCTGTAATGAAGTGTTGCTGCAAATTTCCCACTACTGTATGTCAGACTACAAAGTTTAAGTAGGACCGACTCTGACGTTGGTGTTGAATTGATTATAGCCGTCAGATACTATGCCGATCCCGACTTGCGTCCTGGTTCCTCTCTTATAGGATTTTGACTCAGACGCCAGGGTAAGTTGCTGCTTTGGTGGTGAAATTTAGATTGGAATACTTGATGGAATATCGTGATTTTTGTGTATATAAACATTGGTGGACGTGACAATTAGACCATCCGAACTTTGAGTGACGTGATTCATTAGCTATTATTCAAGATTAGTTCGTCACAGTAGCGGAGTTTGCCGCTAACCGCTAATTTTTAATATATAAATTTAGATTTGGCTTAATTTGGGGGGGGGGGAACTCTGAAAAAAAGGCCTATAGAGCTGAACTTTAAGCCTTGAAAAGGAGCTTTCCAAAAAGATGTAGCATGCCAAGATCAGATGATGATCAAGATGTACGTAACATAAATAAATAAATGAACAAGTGGAATTAGGCAGTAGTTGACATTCAACATACAGTTTATTAAACGAATAAGAAATATTAAGGTTACACCAGGGTTACACACTCCTTTTACTCTGGCTTGCCCTTCGCCTTCATCTCCTCGAGGTGATGATTGTTGCCTTTCATGAACATCAGCTTCTCAAAGTTGGCATCTGGCAGGGTGGCTCTCTTGGCACTCAAGATGTCCTAGCCTATGGAAAACAGGTGCTCAACTGCAGCACTGGATGGGATGGCTGTGTTGTACTTAACGAAAAGGTTCATCAACACCTGCTCGCCCAAGAAGGCAACGTCAGTCAATTCCTCCTTCGAGCTGCTTTCTAGCCAGGTCTTCACCAAATTCTGTGCCTTGGACTTCAGTGACCCGTGGCTCCTCCTGCACTCCATGGGCTGAGTAATGCTGCTGAAGAAGTCAACTTCCCCATCCTCGTCATTGCTGGTGATGCTGCTGCCCTCCTCAATGTCAATGGTCTCCCTCAGGTCCTCAGGACCCTCAGGGCTCAGGGCTGTCTCCACGGCGGTCTCCATGGCCTTCTGTTAGTTCTGTACCCTGCTGAGATGGCTGTGATTATGCTTTTCCAGCCAGAACAGGCAAAACTTAGGGTGGAAGGCTGCTGCCAGCTGGGCCGCTGGCACTCCTTGTCTTCTGAGGGACCCAAACCTTTTTGTGATGCCTGCCAGCATTGCGTCCACCAGAAGACTGCAGTACAGGACGTCTTGTGTTACTGCCAGTAACACAAGAGACAAGACGTGATTGGCTGACGAATATTTGATGACGTAGTCAGCCATCAGTGTGGGTGTGGCTGTGGCACACGGCTTACAATACTTAGCATTAAATCAGAAATTTTAAAACAATTTTAGCGGACTAACAGTTAGCGGAAGCTAATTGGTCCACTAAAGGTTTTCAAGGTTAGCTGAACAGCTAATCCAATAAGGAAAAAGTTAGCTTCGCTAAGTAGCGGTTAGCGGAACTGTGCCCACCACTGGTCAGATGATACTGAAGCAGCATCCCCTTGTTGTTGTTCCTTTTTCGTGCGTTTGGGCATTTTATCCGTTTTTTGTGTAATTTGACGGATTCAACTATTAATGCAACACAAAATTCAACTATTAATGCAATAATTTCAATTAAATATTTGTCGTCACACGTCAATGAATGGGCAGAAAAACTTACACACGTCCGTTGTCCTCCGTAGCTTCAACCGGAATCCAAGACCGCATCTCCTTCTCCTATATATCTTTTCTTTCTTATTTATTCTTATAGGAGCACTGGAAACTAGTCCATATAGCCCCTTGCCTAAACTGGGTTTAATTTGTACCTAACTGTTTTTACAGCTCTGAAAACAGAAACCTGAAACAGAGAGAAAACACACACACGGAAAAAAGAAAAAACAAATAATAATAAAATAATAATAATAATATTAATAAATAACTGAATAAAATAAAATTATACAAAAATTAAACGTAGACAAATAAAATTCCATTTGGATCGAAAGAGGAAAGTAACGAATTTTCATGGCTGGAGCAAGTGTTTCCATCTGAGTCTGAATGATTAGAAGCTCCACTTTGCTTTCTCCGTTTGTTTTTGCCCATCGTGTCCACCACAAGGCTGACACAGGGCAACCGCCCTTCAACGGATTACGAAAAAAAAATAATAATAATGTTACTAGTTTTGATAGATGAGAAGTATAAATAATGCTGAGAAATAATTACAACTTTACAGAGGAGAAGAGCAAGTCAGTTGCCCTTCCTTTGTTGTAGTTCGAGCTTCGAAGCTAGCGCACACACCATACGTCTTGTCACCCTCCCAGCTGTTCAATCTTTTTCCTCCTATATATC